ACATTTTAGGTTTTACGGTTTTAACTTAAATTTACAGTTAAATACCGTAATTTCATTAACTGATATAATGTTAATAATGTATATACCATGTTGTTATACCAACCTATTGAAGTACTGAAATCAGTTTTGTACCTTTGTAATACACTGATAACCACTAAATGCAGGTGGTGATGAGAAAGTCACATGATGAACCAAAGCCCATCACAAGCAGCTTTTAAATAATAACATATATAGAAGGTGCACAGTGTCATTCACACAAACACTAAACACCATCATGGTAACACACATGAAACTGAAATAATGCAATAAACATTCATTTAACAACATTAGGTGTAACACACAACCCTAATATACAAAACTGATAAGAAAAAACTAAGAAACATAGTTATTTCAACAAAAAAACATCAAATTTGAAATGTAACGCAGGGAATTCTGGGAATGTCAATTTACGGTTATTATCTTTTTCACTTCCAAAAACGGTATACTATCGTAAATTTATGTCTTTTTTTAATACATGTAATGTCCAATACAGTTTTTCACCGTATATAGTAGGGGAATTTACCGTTAACCATTTAACAGGTTTTTACTGTAGCATTTTTACAGTCTTTTACCGTTAAATTCACGGTCATTTTTTACAGTGAGTATTACAATCATAGTAGCAATATAAAACTAGTGAAACCAGTATTGCTACAGTATTACAATCATAGTAGCAATATAATACTAGTGATACTAGTATTTCTACAGTATTACAAACAGTACAATAATACTAGTATTTCTACAGTATTAGAATCAGAATAGAAACTAATGATACCACCTGTATTGCTACAGTATTAAAATCAGTACAATAATTATAATGATATTATTATTTCTACAGCAGTACAATCAGTATAATCACTTAACTAGTTGTACTAGTATTTCTACAGTACTAGAATTAGTGTAATCATCTAAAACTGGTTGTACTAGTATTTCTACAATATTACAATCAGCATAATCATTTAAAACTATTAGTGTACAATACAGTATATTGCTACAGCACTAGTAGTAGTAACTTGATAGCACTAGCAGTGGTATAATACTAGCAACAGTGGTACTAGTACTACAGTATTAGAATAATTTTGGTGATTTAAACCTAGTGATACTAGTAACGTTATCTAGAATCAGTACTGTAATGTTAGTAGAATACCTGTATCAGTATATTGGTATAGCTCTAGTAGTAATTGCAGTGCCAGTATTAGCATGGTGGTTTAGCACTAGTATTGGAGTAGTAATGATGTTGCTTGTATAATACTACTGTTAGCTCATTCTTGACTAGCAGTAGGAGGCACAAGCACACATGTGCTGGCTGAACGTAACGTTACCTTCTTCATAATGCCAGTCTTTCTCTTGCTGAAGGTCGTGTATCTCCTCAGCTTGTTGTCAATAAACTCCATCTTAATTTTCACCCGTCCTCGCGTTTTCTTGCCCGGTTTAGCACCGGCCACCCCGGCGGAAACCCCTCCGTATCCCGCCGACAGTCCCGCGTGAGATGCCGAGGATACACCGACCTCCATCTCACTCCTCTCCCGCTTCACCCCTCTCCTGTCCACCGCGGGACTCTCCTCATCGTCCCCGGAGTCCGAGTCTCCGTCGGAGCCGCTCAGCACAGCCTCCACCGACGGCCCGTCGTCGTATCTGCCCCCATCGGGCAGGTTTATGGCAGAGTTTACCGCCCCCAAAGCCCCAGATGTGCTGCCCACCTGTAGAGGGGTCAACCCCGCGCCGTTACCAGAGCGTCCAGCCCCTCTGGCCGTCCCGTTTCCCCCTAACATCGCCCGCGGTAGGTGTAGAGATCCGAGCAGATCCCAGATCAAACCCAGCAGATCGCTTCCCTCGACACCGAACTTACCTCACATATGCTAGGCTAGGAAACATTAGCTCAACTCAGCAGACAAAACGCGCGGGATCTGGAGTTCGAGGACGGATATATTTGTCTGTTTGAAAGCCACGATTTAGGCAGCTCGTGATTTCCAAAAACAAACCCCCAAAACTAGCCCTTTACGACCATCGTACAAAGTTTACAGCGTAGAGTTTCCGCCTACAGTCCATCGATCAAACCTCCTCAACTGAACTTACGCTGCGCTTGCCACGTTTGGAAACAACGAATCGCGACCGTACCTCAATGTGCCTCCGCCAACAGAACTAGTTACCTGCAGTAACGTCAGTATCGCATGAAATTATTCACTTTCAACACATAAATGACTATATTTTGGTCGTATATAACGTTTGATGTTTTTTGAAACGATATAATAGCTGATAGCGCGCTTACTTGGGGAATTTAACTCACGAGGCCGTTCGCCTAAAGATCTACTTTCCTCCAAATAAAGCGAGGCGATGTTTCCTTATATGGCGATGGCTGTCCATGTATGGCGAGTCCCAGCGCTGCGCTGCGATTGGTTACGCAAACCTCTCCGACTCTGTGATTGGCTCGAATCTAATTTGGCCGATAGATATGTTTTACGTCATACACAGCGATGCAGTAGCAAATATTCCTGGACCTTAGACCCTCACAGTAATATTAACGACATAAATACACCATTTCTGGCGAGGAATGTTTGAAAAGGTAAACCACATTCACTTAACGAACTTCTAAAACCAAAAGCGTGTTGTTGGACTGACTGCTGAGTTTAAGTTGAGTACAAACTGAGGTGAGTTTCAGCTCTGTGAGAGCTGTGGACATTATGCGATACTCTGGGTAACCAGCAGATGAGGCTCTTACATTAAGTAAACTAAGTTAAACTAAACTCAATCTTTTGGCGTCTCAACGCATCTCATCTGCTTGCAAATACTAAAGTACATTCACACTTTTAATCAGTTTTCAATTTTCAGCCTTGTACAATCAGCTTTTTGCTTTGACATTACATCAGTGCTATTGCTTTTATGATAGACAGCCAATTGCAACAAACACTTTAAATGAAATTTTTTTCTGCAATCAATATTTTGAAGGTTTTGCATTGGGCCCAGAGAATACAAACATTTTGCGCTAATAGTAGTAATGCAGTATGTATTTGGCTGCTCAAATATCGAGGCAGTTTCTCATTCTCATGATTTACTTACTTACTTCGTCCCATGAGAAGGCCACAAATTAATCTCATGATTAATCACATAAAACCATCAGAAAGATGTCAATCTAATACTATATGCACTATGCAACAATAAATCTGTCAAAAAGAAAATGTCTTTACATTCTAAATTTTGTTGGTTTTTCCAGATTTTTTTACACCCACATTTAGTTTATACTTAATTTTTTCTTTTATTTAAAAAAAAATAGCATGAGTAGTTTTGCATCGAAATCTAAGCAAAAACATGAAGTTCATGTATGACTTGCATGCTTTCTGTAAACGACTAGGCTGTCAGTGTGTAAATATTCTCATAGGAACTGCTCAACTATTGTCATGACAACATCACATAATTACATATTCCCATCTGCAACTGCGGGAGGTAATAACTGCAGATGAATCTTGGTGGTCCCCATAAACTGTTCCAGGAATATACCAAACTGACCCATGCATGTTATGCAATACTAGCAAAAGATTTGATTTTCGAACATGCTTCCTTTCTGGTGCTACATTTGTTTTGAGCAAATTAAAATGACACAACTGTTACTGCATTTATTTTTATTTCCAAAAACCTTACAGCAGAATAAATGGCACAAAGGCTGTGAATGAGTAAAAAAAGTGCAACTTGAGAGCAGACTGAAAATACAGATAATTTCTGAACGAAAGGCGCAAATCCAATTAATTTTAGTTTGTTAAACAAATACAAAGACCTGTTGTCCTCACTGAGCAGAAACAACCGGTCCACATCAATTTAGATATGAGCAAAAATCTCAGAAAGATTTAAGATCTCAATCTCAATAAGAGAAATAACAGGGAGCATTCACAAATTCACTGTGATCAATCAAAGTGTTTGATCACAAGAAAACAGATAATGACAACATACAGACTGATTTGCAAGCACTGCATTAAAATACTAAGTCAGATCTCGAAGCAGCCGACGTAGAGATTGCTTGCCAAAATAATTTCATACAACGTGGTGGTGCGCGGACCATTCCGGCCTCACCCACGAACACGTCTCTGGGGGCGCAACGGTTTAAGTAACAGTGTTTGTCACAGACCATCGACACGAAACACTGCAGAAGATCAAACGCTGCTCTGGCAACCATACAGACATGTTAGGCAAGAGTTCCATTGCTTATGCGACCCAAAACCCTTGCCAGCAATTTCCTGAAAACATCACTTCTGTTTCCAAAACATTATTGCCTTATTCTCATAGGATAGGAGGTCATTTCTGCAGAATTTGCAAGGCGGAGGAAGCATTCAGAGATTTCCATTAGCTAAGGATGCCATTAGATTACGACACAAACTGTTCCACCTAACTATGCAGTTCTGTTTGCTTTATCCACATGTTCCACCTATAAAACACTTTTCCCCTGCTAAGAAGTAAAATCTAGTAAAGAATCTATAAGCACTTTTTGATCATTACATTCTGTTTCTACACAATCCATGTATGAGAAATGTAAAGCTTTGATTTACTGACAGATTAAAATGTTAATTTGTTAAAAAATGTAAACTCTGTCATCATTTACTCATATGGTTACTTTCTTCTGAGGAACTAAAAAGGAGAAGTTTAGCAGAATGTTCATGCTGCACTTTTCCATACAGTGAGAGGGAATGAGGATGAAAATAGCCAAAAAAAAAAAAGATAAAAGTAATTTTTTGAAGCCACACCATGTTCATACAGAATGTGTTTTTGAATTCCAGTGCGCTGATTTTCCATTGGTTTTCTATGTAAACGTGCGAAACAGACATCTTTGACCATTGCGCTTGTGTATTTTGCAACGTCTTGTGCACTGTGAAAAAAAAAAACAAGTGAAAAGACATTCAACTTTTTAAAAACACATCTCAAGACCTTGCATTTTTCCTATTCCACTTCCTGTAAAACTGCGTTCTTCGTAATTGGTCCCTAACAGACCAAAATTTATGGTTGGTGGACATTGAATTAGTCGTAAGCAATTGTGACACCAATTTGAAGACATGTGAAAGATTCAAGCGTTGTGATAGAAGGGAGTATTTTCAGTGAATAACGTTTTTTGAAGTAATTTGAAGATTCACAATATAGCTGTAGAGTCGTATGGACTATTTTTATGGTGTCTTGTAATTTTTGGCGCTCCAGAGTTTTTTCCTCCATTGATGTTTATTGTATGGAAACGAGCAACATGACATTTTGTTAAACTTCACCTTCTGTGTTTTACAGAAAGAAAGTCATATGAGTTTACAACAACATAAGATAGGTAAATAATGATCGACCCAATTTTTGGATGAACTATCCATTTAAAAGACCTCCTGCTACCCAAACAAAGAATAACCTGTAAGTGCTATTCAGAATGAAACTTGAGCGACTGTGTTTCCTTCTGGTACCCAGCTGTGTTGTTTTTCAGATATTTCTTGGTCTTCATGTCACCCTCTCTGACCTTGTCTTTCATTTTCCAAAGTACAAGTTACATGAAAACTTCAGTAAACCAGACAACCTACATTTTATGATTAATAAACCAATTCCTGTTTGAAACCCAGTGAATATGCAACTATCTAGACCAGTGGTTCTCAGCCAGTTTTGTTTCAAGACCTACATTTTACAATGGACATTAAATGGCAACCCAACACAGTATCAAAATTTATTATACAAAAGTTTCATCATAAAAACGTGAACTCGCATAAAACTTTAAAATCAACCATTAATATCTATTGGTTGATTTAAAACTGGTTTCTGACACATTTTTGGGTCTCAACCAACCAGTTAAGAAACACTGATCTAGACCACAACCAGGTAGCCATGCTGTGTTGAACATTTTAAACATTGTAAGCTGCAATACACGCATAAAACCAAGGTGCTGATTTGGTCGATCTAGATGATTTAGAAAGGGTATGGACCCACAATAATGGTGAGTCTCAGCAGTGAGCTGGAACGGTAGCTCAAGACATTACTCTGGGTGACCATCTCCAGGTCCACAACATGTTCTCTAGGTCCAGTCAAAGGTTTGGTCATCACCAACATGGCGCTTACATTACTGGAGCGCTGAAAGACAAAGAAAAAGCTAATCACTGGAGAGGCTTCACCACGAGACAGTGTTATAAATCACAGTGATCCATTTCTGGATGTAACAGGGTTGGTGTCTTTATGTGTATTTCATTATGTTTACAGATACATATTTCAACTCTGTTATGGGAAAAATATCACTGTGAGCAATGCTTACTGTAAATAATCTGGTGAGTAGTGATGAATAAATAAACTTTTTTTTCCACTGATCTTTAACACTAACAAACTCAGAATATTTTAAATGTAACAGGGTTGATGCTAAACCGATTTTGGAAAAGGAATGTCATGGGTTCAGACACAAGTAAGTATCTCTTACATTCTCTATTAGCTTTTATTGTTTACAGTTATATTGTCATGCTCAATTGTTCAACTCTGTTATGGGAAAGTAATAGTGATCACTCTTTTACAGAAAAAATATTTTTCTTGGCAGAAAGCAGAAGTATGCTCACTGTAAATAATCTGGTGTTGTGCTGTGCCAGCTAAGGAGGTTACAAGACATTTTTGCACTGATCTTCAACCCTAGATATTTTAAATGTAACAGGGTTTGGCACTAAACATGTTTTGCAAAATAAATATCATGGGTTCAAACACAGGTGAGTAACTCTTAAAGTCTCTATCAGTTTTTAATTATGTTTACAGTTATATTGTCAAGCTCGATTGTTCAAAGTCTTGACAAAAAGCACAAGAATACTGATTGTAAATAATAATCAGATTTTGTGCACTAATTTACAATCCAGTAACATTCAACCCCATACATTTTAAATGTAACAGGGTTGAATGAAGCTTAACCTGTATTGGAAGAGAAATGTGACAGGTTCATACAGAGGTAAGTAGACTGTATCTTACAGTCTTTGTCAATTTTTCATTATGTTTACATTGTAGTTATATCATCGCTCTCAATAGTTCAACTCCAAAAGTATAAGAATGTATGGTATAAGAAGTATAAGAATGGCAAAAGTATAAGAATGACTGTAATCTAGTGTTATGCAATGATATTTGCTAGCTGAGGTGTTTATTAGACATTTTTGCATCTTCAATCCTGTAACATTCAACCCCAAAACACTTTAAATGTAGGGTGGACAACAGAACATGTTTTTGGTAGAGGAAGTCCATGGGTTTAAATAGAGTTTAAAAGCAAGTATCTCTCATTAAAAAATATTTGGTTTTCATTATATTAAGTTATTTTGTCAAGATCAATAGTTGGTTTATTAAAGGAAAATAATAGTCCTTTACAAAATACTAATATTTTCTAGGCAAAAAGCACATGAACATTAAGTCTAAATAAGCTAAAGCTGTTATTATACTTATTTTGCGTTGATTTTCAACCCTGTAATATTTAACCACAAAGCACTTTATGACAGGGCTGGCATAAACTTTAGAAGAGAAATGTCTTTGGTTATTATCTATTCAATTATAATGTGCTATTGAATTATTAATGCTTGAAAGTAATAGGTCTAAAATTTAAGCAGTCTACTGTGTTTATTAAGTTATACATCCAAACTGTTACAGTATTGAAATAACATAGAACTGAAAGTGTTGGGTTTATGGTTAGTAACAACTGAGTACAGTAAGTTACTCGTAAAAAAAGGCAATTCATTACTAGCTAATAAAATCTTAAACTTATTAATTACTTTCTAAATCCTGTATATCTAAAACCTTGACCAGTTAAACAATACAGGGATAGACATGAAACTGCAATTTTAATTCTTTCAAATAAATAATATAAAATTGCATAAATTATTCTTGAACTGACCAAAGTATTTAAAGGGAGAAGGTTACATTAAAACATACATTTTTACATTAGATGTTAAACTTTGATGTTTAATCCACAATTGTTTTATCCAGAATTTTTCTATAGTTTCTATAGTGTTTAATGCTATTGCATTAGAAGTAACAGTAATTAAATTACAGAAAAGCTAAGAGTAATCCCTTACTTTACTTTTCAAGGGAAAGTAATTAAATTACAGTAGTTAATTACTAAGTAATGCATTACACCCAACGCTGGTAAAAATAAATAACTAACTGCAAGGCTGTAATCACAGATCTTACCCTCAGGTAGAATTCTCCTCCCTCGTTGCCGGATTTGATGGTGAAGGTGTTTACCATGTTGGGGTAGACACTGGTAGCTTGAATCTGGAAGATATCCGCAGGCACTGAGCGTTCGGAAAAGATGCTCATGTACTTGTAGACAATGACAGGCGGCAGTCCTCGGCAAACACTTGGTGACTGGCACCTACAGCGTCTGTTGATAGAGAGGTAAACAGTTTGTGAAACAGATTTGTGGATCAAATAACAAAACTTTATTTTTTTCGCAACACGGTATGATTTTATCAGGAGATTAGACGCACCCTTCGCCTGTTTTGACGTATGGCTCACGGCAGGGGTTTCTGGGATAGCAACGGAACCCTCCATAGTAATTCCAACACATTTCATCTTCTCTGCAGTTGTGTGCTGTTTCACACTCGTTTATATCTATTAAAGGGATAGTTCACCCCAAAATTTTAATTCTGTCATTAATTACTCACCCTCATGTCGTTCCAAACCCGCAAGAACTTCGTTCATCTTCGGGACACAATTTAAGATATTTTTGATGAAATCCAAGAGCTCTCTGACCCTCCCATAGACAGCAAGGATCCTAACACGATCAAGGTCCAGAAACGTAGCAAGGACATCGTTAAATTAGTCCATGTGACATCGGGGGTTCAACTGTAATATTACGAAGCTATGAGAATACTTTTTGTGCGCAAAGAAAACAAAAATAATTACTTTATTCAACATTTCGTCTCCTCCGCATTACACTATAGCACCATTTTGGAGAGTATCACATATGTAAACAACGTATGCTGTTCTGTGTCAGCAGCACCGTACACGGATACGCTGTTTACGCTTTGATCTGAACGTAAACAACGTATCCGCGTACATACATTGTTTACGTATGTGATGCTCTCCAAAATGGCACTATTGGGTGACGCATAGGAGATGAATTTTTGAATGAAGTCGTTATTTTTGTTTTCTTTTGTGCAAAAAAAGTATTCTCGTAGCTTCGTAAAATTACGGTTGAACCACTGATGTCACGTGGAATATTTTACCGATCTCCTTGCTACGTTTCTGAGCCTTGATCGTGGTAGGACCCTTGCTGTGTAATGGAGGGTCAGAGAGCTCTCGGGATGCATCAAAAATATCTTAATTTGTGTTCTGAAGATGAACGAAGGTCTTACTGGTTTGAAAACGACATGAGGGTGAGTAATTAATGACAGAATTTTCATTTTTGAGTGAACTATCCCTTTAACAGGTTGGAAAAGATTCAAGTTTCAAAAGTTTAATGTCATATGTACAGGAAACAGTCTGTTACACCATACAATGAAAAAGGTCAATGAGTATCTTCTGAAGCCACTTCAGGAGCCTGGCAGAAACTGGAATGTACCTTGGCACATCCGCGTCCCTTGGAGCTGGTATCCATCAGGACACACACACTGGTATCCGCCGGGCTGATTCACACACTGGAACTGGCAGATGTAGTTTGAGAATTCACACTCATTGATATCTGGAAAACACGAATGAGAATGAAACTCACAGAATGACATAATATTGCTCATTACTGTGGTTACTGTCAATTCAATGTTTGTGGACCTAATCTTGATTACCACAGATAAAAATTACATATTTTTATACTACACTATACTAACATAGGACAACCAGAAAGTGTCCACATGCTTTAAGTCTTCATCTAAAACAGTATATCAATAGTCATTTACACCAAGGATGATGACTATAACTATACATTTTCCATAATCATTCTAATCCTAACAGCAATGATGACAACACAGAGGAACAATCTTGTTAAAGTCACTTTCAGAACAATTTATTTCCAGCTGATGAGCAATAAACATTCAGCAAGGATCCTAACACGATCAAGGTCCAGAAACGTAGCAAGGACATCGTTAAATTAGTCCATGTGACATCGGGGGTTCAACTGTAATATTACGAAGCTATGAGAATACTTTTTGTGCGCAAAGAAAACAAAAATAATTACTTTATTCAACATTTCGTCTCCTCCGCATTACACTATAGCACCATTTTGGAGAGTATCACATATGTAAACAACGTATGCTGTTCTGTGTCAGCAGCACCGTACACGGATACGCTGTTTACGCTTTGATCTGAACGTAAACAACGTATCCGCGTACATACATTGTTTACGTATGTGATGCTCTCCAAAATGGCACTATTGGGTGACGCATAGGAGATGAATTTTTGAATGAAGTCGTTATTTTTGTTTTCTTTTGTGCAAAAAAAGTATTCTCGTAGCTTCGTAAAATTACGGTTGAACCACTGATGTCACGTGGAATATTTTACCGATCTCCTTGCTACGTTTCTGAGCCTTGATCGTGGTAGGACCCTTGCTGTGTAATGGAGGGTCAGAGAGCTCTCGGGATGCATCAAAAATATCTTAATTTGTGTTCTGAAGATGAACGAAGGTCTTACTGGTTTGAAAACGACATGAGGGTGAGTAATTAATGACAGAATTTTCATTTTTGAGTGAACTATCCCTTTAACAGGTTGGAAAAGATTCAAGTTTCAAAAGTTTAATGTCATATGTACAGGAAACAGTCTGTTACACCATACAATGAAAAAGGTCAATGAGTATCTTCTGAAGCCACTTCAGGAGCCTGGCAGAAACTGGAATGTACCTTGGCACATCCGCGTCCCTTGGAGCTGGTATCCATCAGGACACACACACTGGTATCCGCCGGGCTGATTCACACACTGGAACTGGCAGATGTAGTTTGAGAATTCACACTCATTGATATCTGGAAAACACGAATGAGAATGAAACTCACAGAATGACATAATATTGCTCATTACTGTGGTTACTGTCAATTCAATGTTTGTGGACCTAATCTTGATTACCACAGATAAAAATTACATATTTTTATACTACACTATACTAACATAGGACAACCAGAAAGTGTCCACATGCTTTAAGTCTTCATCTAAAACAGTATATCAATAGTCATTTACACCAAGGATGATGACTATAACTATACATTTTCCATAATCATTCTAATCCTAACAGCAATGATGACAACACAGAGGAACAATCTTGTTAAAGTCACTTTCAGAACAATTTATTTCCAGCTGATGAGCAATAAACATTGACAGCCAATCAGAATCCAACTGACTTTAAAGGGCAGAAAGTTATCGTCCTTTGGTTTGGACTAGTTATCATTCTTGGTGTAATCTCTTGGTATTAAGGTTTTTTTTTTTTTTTTTTTTGTCCATCAGGACACACACACTGGTATCCGCCGGGCTGATTCACACACTGGAACTGGCAGATGTAGTTTGAGAATTCACACTCATTGATATCTGGAAAACACGAATGAGAATGAAACTCACAGAATGACATAATATTGCTCATTACTGTGGTTACTGTCAATTCAATGTTTGTGGACCTAATCTTGATTACCACAGATAAAAATTACATATTTTTATACTACACTATACTAACATAGGACAACCAGAAAGTGTCCACATGCTTTAAGTCTTCATCTAAAACAGTATATCAATAGTCATTTACACCAAGGATGATGACTATAACTATACATTTTCCATAATCATTCTAATCCTAACAGCAATGATGACAACACAGAGGAACAATCTTGTTAAAGTCACTTTCAGAACAATTTATTTCCAGCTGATGAGCAATAAACATTGACAGCCAATCAGAATCCAACTGACTTTAAAGGGCAGAAAGTTATCGTCCTTTGGTTTGGACTAGTTATCATTCTTGGTGTAAACTCTTGGTATTAAGTTTTTTTTTTTTTTTTTTGATTGAAAAAGTGCTCCTGGTATCTTCCTTTTAAACAAATGCCACTTAATTTAATATTTTTAATCATCAAATGCAAAGACATTGAGATGTTTTTAAGAGCGGCTTAAGTGTGCAAATACTTTTAGAGCTAAGTAGCTTGTAAAAGACCATTTAAATAGCCAAAGTCAGTTTAAATAGCCTATCAAAGTACCTCACTTAATGTCTTTTGAATGTCTTTTATATAACCAAATATACACATTATATAATTAAACCTACATCAAATGTAATGTTTCTCTTTGTTTCAGTTTGCCTAAGGATAGCATGCTAACAGATTAGCCTCCTAAGATAACATAGCCTGCCATTGGAAAGCATGCAATATGCATGTTACTAGAAGTAATCAAAACAAACCTTCATAGAGTTTACTTTCATAATACCTATATATATATATATATTATTTATGAATTATATAACAATGCTCATTTGTCCAAGGCCCATTAGGATATTTTTATAATCAGCATAATATCCACACAAATGGCAAAAAAACAAACAAACATTGTACCATTATCGCCTTGAAATACTGTTTGATTATGATTATATTGATTTGATTGGCTACAACAGGATAGTGTGAATAACTTTTTGTAGATGTTAGCTGTCAATACTTTATTTGTTTACATACACATCAAAATTATTGTTGATGAAATCTGATACCAGGTTTAAAATATCCAGGAATATTCAAATTATATTATGTACTTTCAAAAACTTCAAAGGTTATACTTTTTAAAATACGTTAACAAAGTGTAAAAAAAACAAATAAACAAAAACCTTGGCAGGAGACTGAGTCTGAAGCCAGTTCATATCCGACTTCACATTGGCAGATGAAAGAGCCAATCAGATTGTAGCACTGATGTTGGCAGGGGCTTGCAGTTAGACATTCATTCACATCTGTAAAAAAACACACAATTGAACATTAATGATAGATGATGAAATTAAAAATGAGAGTGCAGGAGTAATAAACAAAATAGCTGGTCATTGCCAATTGCCTATTTCATTCAGTCCCTTAAATATAACACTAATAATGGCACTTATTTAAAACAACAGGTAGGATATCCAAAACACACATCCTTTCTGCACTCCTAATCATTCTTTGGTATGTCTGGCGAGGTTTCCAGCTTCGTTCTGGTGCACAGAAAGTGTCCTTTCATGCTGTGAGGGCCATCGTGGGTGGTCTGCGCTTATCTGCCAGGTTTGGTCAAGTAACTGTATACAAAGGCCTAAGAACAGGCCAGTTTTCTGTGATTCATATACAGACTATTGGATGTGCAACATGTGTGAGTGCAAAACCTCCTCATCCAAACAAGGCAGATTCTTCTTAGGCTCCTAAGTGACTTGTTTGAGGTATTAATGGGAGAATAATGTCAACGCACAGATCCGAAGACCCCCGGGAGGCCTCTTTCCGAGTGTTTCCAAATCTTTGCTGACCAGCGTTTGGGCCCTTTCAGGGGGTTCAGCGCTGCTGATAGCCAATCTGGCCGGAAAAAATGAGGCAAGGCCTCGTGCGCAAGAGTTCAGATGAAAAACTTGCTTTTTTTCTTGCCCACCTCTTTGAGAGAGACACACCTGGAGTCTGTGATCACCCACATGACGGTGATTTGATTCCAGCAAACTGGTGTTAGATTCCAGAGGAAACACTGCCAAGGCACTTCTGAAAGAGACTGGCCGAAAATATGTAAACATTGCAGGAAGGCTGACTCTCTTTTGCGGGAAGAGGCCCGAGCTAATTGTTGACTCATTTTAATGGGCTGAGAGATACATGTCCTGACCCATACTTCCTCAAACAAAACCACATAAACTCTGGTAGCTGTATGATAACTAAAAGCATAGTCGCTGAAGGGCCATTTGACCCAAGGTTAGTCTCCAAGAGCATGTGTGCGAACCGACCAACTGTCCATTTACTGAATGTCTGAAGAATATTGCACACAACAATGGCTTAAATCAAAATACAATGGTTTGCACTACACACTTGTTTGCCTGGAGACAAAGTTTAAGGATACCAGGTTGATGCATTGAGTACTTTTGATTAGACAAAAAAATTGTGAGGTTAATGGCATTATTTTTACAATTTATTTAATAATAATGATAATGATGATGATGATGATGATGATTAAAATAATAATGATATATATGAAATTCTTAAATTATATATTAATACAATATTTTTTATTTATTGATTGATTGATTTATTTTAATTTTTAACAAAATTGCTTTAATGCTTATTAACATTTTTAAAAAGTCATGTGGTGCATCCAGTGTGCACAAGCTATCAAAGAGAGGACAAGGTCAATAAGTATTTTAAAATATCATTTGACCTTTTTGACAGTGTTCAGGTGGTTAAATGTCACGTTGTGCAACTTGCCAAAAAATCATAATATTAGTGTTATATGCATTTAATATAGTTAGTGGCAAGTTTCTTTTTCCAAGACAAAAACAAAAAAATCTTAAATGAATAATGAATAAAATTAATATTATTTTTATTTCATTTATTTCTCATGAGAAAAGAAAAACTGCTTCAGTTTGGAAAACTTTAGCGACTGAATAAAGAGTTATGTGGTGCGACCGACATACACACACAGAAAAAAAAAACATAAAATAGGAAATTATATGAGGCAAGGTCAGTTCAGATTGTAAAATGTCATGTGGTGCGACCCCCAAAATGTACGAATTAATAATTCTTTATGTGTAAAAATAGTTTTTACTATCTATTTATAAAAGCGTATGTGAAAATAATTACTAAGACATGTACACTCACATGAACTCATATATATATTATTACATTTTGATGGTTAAACTGAATGACATTTAAATGGAAACATGAAACTGGTATTAAAGCTGCAGCAGCTATGTTTTGCTCCTTAATGTTATGATTCACCAGCAAGACCAAAACCAAACCAATGCTAACCAGTAAAAGCCAACTTGACCTAGTATTAAAATAGACACGGATCTTTCCTGAGCCTTTTAGCAGCAGTGGAATCCGTTATCAAGTATTACAGCAAACGTAATCAGTGCAAATGATTGCTCGTAGTATCTAATAAAATGATTTAAGATTGGGAAACAAATATATTATTCTTGTTGGATGACATGTTAGTTGGCATGTCTTTGCAATTCTTGTCTTTCAGTCTCATCGTGAATGATTTATGCAATCTAAATTGTTTGCTTCTAGCACAGGGATTCTGCGTGCTGTAACATGACTGAGCCCTCTATCACGTTGGGAAAGAATTAGCACCATTAGCACACACACAGAAATTGTTTTATTCACCAGATAGAAGAAGACAGACCCAGAGGAAGCAGATTTCTGGCACTGCATCCTCTGAACAGACACAACAACTTCCCAAAGAATGACATAATAACTTCCCAAGGGGTTCCCTTCCCATTCTGCACAGAGAGATCATCTTCCGTCCAGTATCTTAAATATGGCCTCTCAGTATTAACTGTGTATGTAGACAAAATTAATATTTTTCCAACAACATTTATATCGCTAATATTTTAGGTGCTGGAAGCCTAAAAGCTGTAAGCTAAAAAGCTCATTTACATTTTCGCTACTAAGGAACTGTAGGCCACAAAATGTTGAGTGTATCATCTACACACAAACTAAACTTCGCATATACACATTCCACTCATTCTTGTGAATAGTGTGTGCGAATCAGCATTCATAATTATTCTCCCATGGCCTTATGGGATAGAAGAGTGTCCATCAGATGTGCCATCAAAAATCTTGGCGGAAGTAGTAAACCATCTAGGTTATTTTGAAAATACTGTTTCATGAATACTAAGGATTTTGACATACTACTATTTTGGCATTCTGTACATCTATAGTCTATAAGTATGCGGTTTTGTACCAATTAACCAAACAGCAATCAAATTTACGTGACAATCAAAATTTGATCCAGGGCTGTACAGTGCGACATATATACATACGTGCTACGAAAAAACTGGTCTGTGCAATGAATAAATTTACCACTGTAGCACGCGTGCGATACAGTTTTGCATGTTCATAACACAGCCACTTAATAGTGTGAAGTGATTTGTACTTGGTAGTTAGAGGTGTGCGATATGACGATTTTTGATCGTGGACGATTAAAAATGTCTCCACGATCTGCTCTTGAAGAAATATCGTAGTATTGTGCTACAACGCACATTCTATCAGTTACAGTTCTGGTGCCTCCGTCTCAATATACTGTACAACGCCACATACATTCACATCAGTGTTAACTCAGCGGTAGAG